GCTGCTTCTCTGGATAAGATCCCGCATTCTGCTCTTCTCCCTTGATGGTCCTAGGGTCCTCTGTTTCTGGACTGTAAGATTAACCATTCCCCTGTTTTTGTTACAAAACTTCTACCTTTACAATTGTGACAGTCTCAATTAGTTATGATAACAGTTACTCAATATTGAGTCATAAGAATCTTATCCCCATCTCTCTTCACCAGACCCATCTAGACAAGATGAAAACTCTTCAGTGGGGACTCTTTCTTCTCTTAAACTAAACTCCTTCTTGAAACCTTGTAAGCCACTCACTTCATGCCTTTATTGCTCCCTCATTTTAGGTAGCCAGTGCCTACGTTGCCTGTCCTTAATCTACCCTGTGTACAGTGGAAATAGCATTGATACTTGATGTGAAGACTCCTTCCCTGTCTGTTGGTATTTAGAGTTAACTACCTCCATGAGTATAGGTCAGGTTCATCATATTGTTGCAATTTACCCTTGTTTCCTTTATCCAAAAAAAAATAAATTAAAAAAAAAATCTTCCTCTAGTTGAGTTCTGATTATCAAGCCATTGAAACTAGGTGAAATGGGTACTGTCTGAAAGTTCAAGTGTTCTTATTCATCTCCCCTCACTTCATATCAGCTGGATGCTTCACTCTCAGCTCGAGCCCTCTGTGGCTATGTCCTTGTCCATGGGCTCATGTGTCCCCAGGTCTCACCACACTTTGGACCAACCAGCCCTTCCTCTTGTCTCTCTCATCTCCTGGTCAACGAGAGTTAATGGACTGTGGTTGAACTCAGCCCATTTCCTCATTGCTGCTTTCCCCCTGTTCCACTCATCCATCAATAGACCATTGTGGTTGCCAGCAAGCTCACATGCCTGTTCATATGTTCCCTTTGAGTTTCAGTCTTAGAAGGAACTTGATTACTTGCCTTGATGACTTCCCTGCGAACAGCTTGCTTATTCTTGTAGTAGCCAGTCATGCTGACATTTTTGTTTTGGGTTTTTCCTGATGATCTTTCTTTGAAGATGTATCTTCTGTTGCTCTAGCTGTTCTAGGCTGGTCTGCTTGTCCTTGCTAGTGGGAATGTCCTACCTTAGAAGGTTCTGGATGGGACTCAGGATTCCACTTAAGGTCCTGTACTCTACAAAGGGTCTTCAAGAGGCCTATTTCACTGGGCAAGTTCTAGAACCCCTTTTAGGTATTCCAATCAGTTTGAGGCTGAAGACGGGCATACAAGTTTTCTGTGATCATGTTTCCCAACATTGCTTTCTATCCCACTCAAGTGTCTTATTTTACAATAGTAGGCAAGGGAAACTGATGTTCATAAGACAATCAAGCATTTTAGTATTCTTTCCTCTCTTCAAACTATGCCTAGATCCCTGTATCACAGAGCCCTGTTGTTACAAGGTTGAACATGCATCACTATTTATCTCTGTCCCACATTTGCCCATGGAAACCTGTCTCAGTGTTCCCCTATCTATCTTGTTCTTCCACCTCCTTCCCATTCTTGTATTGCCCTCCCCAAGGTCCAAACTAACCCTCCAACCCCAACCCCACCATTGTGGTTACCTTATATTCCAGTAATTCTTCTCTCCATTTAAGACCGTCTATTTTATTCTGTAATCTACTTGACCTTCTCACCACCTGGATCTCTGTCCCTCTGTGTTTACGTTCTTTTACATTGTAATTGTTTTGATCATAGACTGACCTCCCAGATCCTCTGTACGTCAGTCTCTGGTTGTTGTCTGTTCTTGTTGGTTCTCAGTCCACAGAACTTCCTTTAGGATGTTTTTCATAGCAGGGTTGGCTTTGGCAAAATCCCTTAGATTCTGTTTATTCTGGAATGTTTTGATTACACTGT